AATCTTTAAGTCTTGTGTCGACACTCTGGCGCCCTGGCTCCATGAGGTGGTTGAACGCGCGTGGAGAGACGAGGGTGTTCCTGATGACTGGGGCTTAGGCATCCTTGTACCTATCCTCAAGAAGGGAGATAAGACAAGATGCGAGAACTACCGCGGCATAAGTCTCATCGACGTTGCTGCGAAGATCTTCGCTATTGTCCTACTCAGGCGATTCCAGGCTGTGCGTGACTCAAGGACGATGCCCAACCAAGCCGGATTTCGTGCTGGACGTGGATGCGCAGATCAGATATTCACACTGAGGCGCATTCTCGAATTTCGCCATAGCTACCAACAAGCGACGGCCGTCTGCTTCGTTGACTTTGCCGCCGCGTTCGATTCCGTTCACCGTGAGTCCCTGAGGCGGATAATGGCGCTAGATGGTGTACCGGCAAAATTTATCTCCATGATCAAGGCCTACTATCGTTCCAATACTGCGAGAGACCTGGTCCGTAACAATCTTTCCCAACCGTTCGGTATTCGGTCTGGCGTCCGACAGGGTTGTATCCTGTCACCCATACTGTTCAACTACGCTATTGACTGGATCCTCGGGAGGGTCCTACGCGACAGCGACGGCGTTGAATTTGCACCCGGACATCGACTGACTGATCTCGACTATGCCGATGATATCGCCTTACTTGCTTCAAGTTTTGGTGATCTGCAGTCTATGGTGTCACGGGTGAACGAGGTCGCTAAATCAGTCGGTTTGTCCATAAACGCTGGGAAGACCAAAGTATTCTCAAGCTGCATCCCTGACCAGGAGAAGGCACCCCTCGGGATTGATGGCCGTCAGCTTGAAGAAGTGGACAGTTTTAAATACCTCGGGGCGCGGCTGCTGCCTAATGGACAGAGTAAGGACGACATTGTCTCCCGAATCGATGCTGCCCGCTGGGTTTTTTCAAGCCTTCGGAAATGCCTGTGGAACCGACGTGACCTCTCCATCGCCACTAAGATTCGCGTGTACCGTGCATCTGTCCGGTCTGTCCTTCTCTACGGTTGCGAATGCTGAGCTTTGCGCGTGGCGGATGAGCGAAAACTGGAGGTATTTGACCACCACTGCTTGAGGATCATCCTTCGAGTGAAGTTAACCGACTTCGTCTCAAATGAGACAGTCCGCGGTCGCTGCGACAACATCGCGAGGATAACTCAGGCCATCCAAGAAAGAAGACTGAGATGGTTCGGGCATGTTCTTCGTCGTCCACCTCAGGAGCTCAGTGTTACTGCCCTCGATCCGGCACCGTTGTCCCATTGGAGGCGGCGAAGAGGGGGTCAGTTCAAAACCTGGCTCGACACTGTCCGTCAAGACATGGAGGTGGTTATTGGACCTTCGGTATTCGGTCTCCGTCGTTGGCGAAGGTAATGGGTTGAGCTGTCTAGATCTGCTGCCGCGGATCGTCACGCGTGGAGAGGTACATCATCGAGGCCGGCTAGATCAGGTATGATCGCAGCCGTATCAAGTACAAGTAAGTCAAGTAAGTAAGTCATCCACCGCGGACGTTACTCCTCACCTTGCCATTATCTACCACGACCTAAGCTCAGACAGTTGAGAAGCGATGGTAACACCTTCGTCTCCTACCGGTAGCGAGGCAAATGTGGATACTACCCTACAATCGGCATTTCCTTTGCTTGAACTGAGCTCAGAGAGTCGAGAAGTGATCTTTCCATTCCGGCTACCTCCATGTGCCGCGGCGAGTGCAGACACTTTCCCGCACTAAGCATTTATGTAGCTGTGACCTAAGTCAAAGGTATGAGAAGGCAAGTGGTACGGACCGACTTTATGCACAGGCATTCATTCACAATGCGGCGATAAACCGTTTACGTCAATATTCATTTACTTCGGACCATACATCTTTCGCGCGTACTGCCCCACCCGTAAAACAGAACCCATTGTTTATTGGTTTATTTTCGTGGTCCCACAACCTATCGTTGTCATAGTTCGCTCAAAAACTATCATCCCCGCCTGTCTGAGATATCTTAGGATAACGGTAAGGGACAATTAATATTGCAACCCTTCCTAAGTAGTCTTTTAGAACCCAAAACACATTTCAGAATTCCATGTAACATTTTCTGAGATAACTCATCTACTGTATTTGGACCAAGGTTGTGGTATCGAAGGTGACGAAACCCTTAACAAACGAACCCATTTGAGGGGGTGGCGCTGTTGATCCGGTCCACTCCATTTTTTAAAAGCAATGCACTAATTGGCCACACACTATTTAGTATTTGAGGAAGAGTAAAATATTATTGAGTAATTAAGACGTAGGACTGCAAATTAACATTCCACTGACAACAAGCCGGAGTTCTAACTTCCCGTTATACTCCTACTCGTGGAGTATGCAAGCTAAAATGCTTGTCCTCCTACAACTTTTCATGACTGAGACAGTTTTGTGCAATGACTCAAATTGGACAATCTCATATTATGAGGCCTATTTTGAATTATTTTGCATTGCATGCATGATAGAACCTTTGGTACACTGAACAATACAAAACAGTGTGCCTACGGTGTGGGAAAGACCCGTTTTTATGAATTCGTACGCAGTGTACTTTTGTAGTGTAATTCAATGTGCTATGCTTTTTCAACACTTTACGGAACGAAAACTAAGCCACAACACTTTATATTCCATAACCAAACATAAGATGATACCATACTAACAGCACAGGTACTAGCCAAAAGCCCATTCACGCGTGTTTTGCCTATGTTCTGCAGCTGCATGGCACAGTTGTTAGGGGTTCGGCCCACCAGTGGGTCCCCCCGCATTCCTCGACTGCTTTGTGGTTGATACTCTAAGTTAGAAATCGCTGCTGCTTTAATTTCCTCAGAATGCAACTGCCGACACTAGAATATACTACTACCTGTCCGTCGACATCTAATGAATATCTTGCGGTTACCCACTGTGGCTGATGGACTTCAGCCCAAATATCCATACATAAGATTTTGGTCTGCACCTATAGACCCTAGTATATACTGATCTACTTTTAGTTCGCAGTTGATTCGTGAGGAAAGTAAAAAAAACAACAACAGTCGTGATTTAAATAACTTTGAAACTCCACTTTCTATAAATGCCAAGCTACAGTAGATGTGCTAACTCATGAGATGTCGACCAAAATTTCGAAATGCGTTCTCGTTTCCAAACGATAAATTAAGTAGTGTTGTAAAACTAATCAGGATGCAGCGTAATTCTATAATGATCAAGTTACCTCAGGGTGTCGGCTTTCGAAAGAATTTATTTTCGGCTGCATGCAAGATCTATACACTGCAAAAGATGACAACTTAAGTAGCATGCAATTTTCTCATTGATTTTCGATGCCCTTGAAAATTCAATTATATTGCATGGGAAGCAAGCATAAAAATATTCATTCTTTTACTTATTCAGTAGAAAATCACGTCTTCTTCCAATTTCAGAGTTGTAAGATGCTTGGACGCTGTGCTGCGGGTTCCAAATTTCTGGACTTTGTGCAAACGAGGAATTCGCGTTATCACTAAGCTGCATGGCACAGCTGCGAGGGATTCGGCTCGTCAGTAGGGTATCACCTTGCCCTAAAGTATACTACTAGCTGCTTGCCGGCAGCTAATGAATATTACGCGTTTACGGGCTGTGGCTGATGGACTTTGGTCCATATATTCATACATAAAATTCTCGGTTTGAGCTTATAGACCTTGAATAAACTGATATACTCCAACTTCATAGATAATTTCTAAGTCAAAAATGACAACATAATGCACCGTTAAAGTTGCATGTGCATATTTAATGCCACTAGGTCTTTAAACGATGTAAGGTAGGGACCCAGCCTACTCGTATAACAGCCTCAACCAATGCATTACTCAAGGATGTGCAGGATAACTTCTACATCTACCGTCATTTTAGTTTTGCAAACAGTAGCCCCAAAAATCAATATTTTAAGTAACAGTACACTCGCCTGGCATAAAGTGTAAGAATTTATGGTGGTGGTTCAGGCTTTAGCTTGGACGATATTATCTTAAAGTGCCTTTTGCGCTTCCAAGGGTGTATCACTGGTCCTCAGATTTCCTGCAGGCTGAGTTCCTATTCTTTTCTCCATACTAAGGAGCATTTGGAGTTTTTAATACGTAACGCGGCCTAAAACAGTTAGCATCTACTTTGGTGCTTCCATCATTGGAGCGCCAACAGTTCCAGGGGAAGCTCCTGCTTCCAGAGCCGTCAACTTGCTCCTCGGGGCTTTCTTCAGCTGAAAGCCTCCCCGACCGGCAGATAAAACGGCATCTTCACTGGAAATATAATCTGGGCTGTTGACTGAGAAGTACGGCATAGGTCAACAGTATTAAGACAAGCTGCGGCGTCTGCGGCATTCGAATTTATGTTAAAAAGCATTATTCGGCTGAAAATGAGCGGTACCTTCGAACGTTTACGTCTTGTATATAAATGCATCTGAAACGGAAACTTATGTACATTACTTAGATATCTTTACGCGCACCAACGTCGCGCCCCAGTCAGTAAACTGTATTTAGATACCAGGTGGACCAAAGCTCTGCTGAACTCGAAGAGACAGAGGGAGAGGGGGACTACGGAAGTTCGAAAGGCCGCCTTTTGCATGTATCATGTATCAAGAGACATATGATCACTTTAAACCCTACAGCCGAGAGCAAGACATCTGGCTTAAAGACGTGGTGGTCAACCGAAGACAGCTCAGTTTCATAAAGGTAACCTACGCGGGAGTAGTTTGAACTCTGAATGCAATTTATATTATTGGCATAACGCTGCACGCAAGTGAGATAGAGAAGGCCATGATTTGATAAAAAGAATGATTTTCCACTGTAGTAGACCGCCTCTTCATAGGCTAAAAAGCACGTGCATCTTTTTGACAAATATTGGTCGTGGAAAAAGTCAAAGTTTGGCGATGATCGATCATCCTGTCGACCGAGCGATGTGAGTTGAGGAATCATCAGCGAACAAGCGAGGCGTTTGGACGAAAAATTTGCGCGAAGTTTACTCCTCGTCACTGAGCCTCTGAAGAGGATAAGAAGAAGCTAAATGCGCGTAAATGTCAGACGGCAGTAAATAAAAGATCAAGGACGACTGACTGCTTCTTTGGGCAAGAATTCACCTGACTCGCTGGAGCTCTGTTACTGAGTCGATGGAAAAGTTATTCCGATGGCCAGTACCGCTTAGATGCCTTTAAAGCAACATAACTATGTGGCAAATGTCTTGCTTTCGTTATTCATTATTCGGTGTGATTGGAGTAGAGTCCTCTGGGTAGACCTCTTCAATTTTAGATCAACAGTGGGCATGAGTATTTAAACAGAAAATCATATAGTGCTCATGATCAACCAACGGACGGTCAGTAGTATATATATATGTATGTATACATATGTATTGGGATGCAGGCATCCTAAGAAACATGGCTTGACGTCAAAGATGTTCTTTGGGATAGGGGACTTTATTGAGTAAATTTTCGACGCTGGTTCCCAGGTCGTCGTCACTCGCAGACGAACCTAGGAACCAGCGTCGAAAATTTAAGCAATAGAGTTTCATTCCCGGAGAAGGCCTTTGACTTCAAAGTATATTTATTCCCGACACCGCCTCCTTCTCTTAAATATTGTTTATATTTACGGCGAAATTACTTTGCTATACTCCCTGCGCGGGCACCGTATAACAAGCCGGACATTTATTCATTTCTTGTTTCGACGGTTTATGCGACAAGTCATGCCTGATTCGCCGTTGCAACCCTATTCCCTTCAAGGTGAATGCAACTTGAATAGGAGCATGCACTGCCAAGTCGGGCAAGAAAGTGTGGGGCGAAAGCCCACCTAAAATTCCGATCCAAACAGTGATTTCCTATAGGATGAGAGTCGAACTGTCACCGCACGTTGTACTGCGGTTCTCCCGTTATAGTAAATTCTTAACAAATGCCTTTGCTGTGATAGTGCCTTTTCACTTTTACCTATTAAAGAGACCTAGGATTCTACGCACAGTCTAATTTTTGGATTTGAACAAACGTGTCCCCCGACCCCCTACATCTCCTTCTCGACTTTCCGCCCTGCCGACAGCTCTTAATTCGCAAAGTGCAAAAGAATCAACTGCGAATAAATTACCGCCTACTCTCTCCCCGACTCTTGCCACATGAACATTGAAATGGTGAGTTCCGGTCAACAGAGGGGTACGGTGGGGCCGGGGGTTTCGACGTCGAATCTCCAAATTTAGCACCTTTCCTCGTTCACAGGGTTAGATGAAGCTTAAACGACGCTCGAACATAGTACAGCTTCAGCCGGTGGATATTTGACGGAAAGTCCATTTCCTATCCTGCCATTGAGTAAGGTGAGTGAACTATAGGCACAAGCAGTTTCTATTTTTCTCATCATAACCGATACAACGTGAGTCTTTAGCTCAACTTGGAAGGCACCAAGTTTTATGACAAACTGGATGAACTGGGAAACCCCAAGTCTACTAAGGGACATTTTAGAGTGGGACTAAAGACAGCGTAGTCTTGGAGGTCTTCTTCGGTAATATTTATCGAGATTAGTGACTACTGGCAGTCCGAAATTAATATGCGTACATCGTGGGAAGGGCATTCGACGATCAGCTGACGAGATACACCCACCCAGTCACACCTTGGGGCTCAGTCCAAAGCCCTTGCAAAATCTCTATATTTACCAGTAGTCCTGCAGAAGGGATGCTGACAAAATCAAGCGAGAACCGGACGGCCGTCAGTCGGCCATGTTCAATCTCGTGGACGTTTAGGCTGGGATTCGAATCCAGGTTTTTTAATCATTGACTGTGCCTAGGTCCAGAGATCTATCACATGGTCATGCGCCCGTTGTCGTGTCGATTGTGATCGGAGGTATACACTGGGTTGAGAACGTACCCGATATGTCTTGCCTTGATATCCAGTCTAGAACCATCGCAGACAGTCACCTAGCGACCAGTTATTGTGCGAAATGTTTTGCAATCCAGTCCTAGTCTTGATTCACTTCATCCAACGTGAACTAGGATCATCGAACACAGAACACGCTTGCCTTAACTCCGTCTGCGTATAATGACGAAAAGGGAAGACTTAATTCAACGGCCATTAGCTTTTTAGAAAAAAAATTCAAGTTCACACTCAGTACCGTCCAACCATATTCAGTCTTGGCGAGTGTAGAATGGCTGTAGCAGTGAAAACTGTCTAGTACCTGTGAAATTTCCCATCACCGAGCGCCCCCATACTGCTGATGATCCAGGTCGTGTCGCACTGCCCGAAATTATTCAACAGAGATTGAGTAAATGCGACTGCCGAAGCCTACGTGCTGTCTCGGAATTTATTAACGCTCGGATTCTGCTCCAGCAAGGCCATAACTGGCTCTGTATCCTCACATGAACCAAGAACACATGCATGCGCACGGTGCATGTCGGGGGAGCTTTAAATCTACCAGAGTTCCCTGGTTTACGCGGAACAGCCAACGACAGTCACACATTAATCCCAAAAGTTTGTCATTGATCGCCTCAGCATTTCGAACCTAAAAAGCCCTCCCCCCCCACCAATTCATTTTTTCTTCGCTGAATTCCGCAATATCGACTGTCAGTCATCGTGTATCGTACACAATCACTTCTGAACAAACGTTATTGCGGCAAGACGAACGCAACGCTTATCCAGACCCACTCACCTCTTCCGCTTCGTCCTCGACATTCTCATCGTTTTTCTGTTCCTCTCCATTCTCACTGGTCTCCTCAATTATCTCCAGAGCCGCATCCTCTTTGGGCTTCTCGGGCAGGTTTGTCTCTGCGCGTGCACCAACTTGGCCCTGGCTGCCCGCGGGTCCATTCTGGGACGTCGGACTCGGTTTTGTCGCTGCCCTTATTTCAGCCGCCTGTGTAGTGCTGGAACCCACTGCTGTCGACTGCAGCTGGTTCAGCATGGCTTGTTGCTCTTCAGACAGCATTACGGCAATTTCTGCGGCGTCTAGAGCTGCGTAGGTCTGGTGATTTTCCGTAACCACCTAATGGAGGTTGAAGGGCGGATTAGATGTCTTAAAACCAGTGTTTAACAGAAAAACGGCTGAGGGCGGTTGGAGGGGCTAGGCACATAAACATACTCTGCGTACATGTGTCATACCATAGTGTATCTTTGAATTTAGATATGGCTGCATAAAGGCAGCTAACAACTCGGACAGCTATAGGTGTGTCAAAACGGATTCTAGGTATGGAAATTAAAACAGCAAAAAGTTCAATTACCAAGGACCTAGTGGACACCGTTCATACAATCCGCTGCGTTTAACGTCCTACTTCGAGCATCTCCCACACTTATAAGAAGTCTCGGCAATACGGAAGAGAAAATCATAAACATGTAAGTGGCTGGATCCCATGATCGACCTCATATCGCACCACGCTCACCCGCACATCCGATCAACATTTTTCGCCGTTTATGCACCTATCCCGCTTGACCACTCTGGGCCGTGTTCTTACCAAGCCGACAGTTTCAAATATGCACTGCGACTGTTAGGAGTCGAACGAGTAGTTACGGCATGATAGAACGCCATTAGATTATGCATGTTTCACGACCTTTTGGTCTGTTCAAATTCATTCTGGGAAGACCATGTCCGAGATCAACTTTAAGACTACAACACGCTCTAATTATAGGGGCAGTGCTGCATGCATTTGGGACGTCAGAAATTCAGATGCCTACTATTGTCCGCAATTCAGGACACTGAGGACAGAATGAATGAAATGAAAAAAGTGCTACTCAGTCTGAAGAGTGTAAATCAAGAGGTAGGCAACACGAAAGCCGTGGAACCTACTTCTATAAAACAACTTCAGACTCTCCCATAAATACAAAATCGGGGGATCAATCAGAGGTCACATAAGGGGGCCTAGGCAATAAACGACATCTCGACTGCCGCGAACAACGACATCCTCTGCGTGGCCGACTTGACGGGCGTAGCGTCGGCAGCTTGCGTGTAAATAAGTTTTGGCGAGGCAGACCTTTGCAGCATATGCCGCACTCTCTCCTCGCGTACACTCCTGATTCTAATGACGAGATCGTGTTAACACAATCGGAGATGGGCGCTGGCGCTGGCGCACACACGTGACCGTGTTGTGAGGCTAATTTAGAGGGGAGCCAGTTGGGTGTGAATCTTGGTCCGGAATACTCCCATAAGGAGCGAGTTGCCCCGTCAGTTTGCAGCTTCCTTTGCTACAAACTGCAGCGCGTCGGAGTTAATGTAGTGAGGCATTTGCTGATTTCGGCGTGAAGATGGGTCCGACAGTGTTCGCCTCGGTCCATCTCCCTTCTTCCATGTTCCGGCCTGGCGCCATGGTGACGAGACTGGACTCAGCAACGGACAGCCCGCTTGTGTACGCAACTTGGTGTCACAGCATGCGCCAGATCTTACTTTTCATGTGAATGGTAAGTTAAACTTTTGAAGTGCAACTTACTATCCCCCAGATAGGCGGAGAAAAAGCGGACCGGATGCGTGTTGCAGGATTTATGGCGATGGCATGTATGCGCGTGTTTGGAAATAGGTCCCCAGACAGTGTGGGGATATGTGTGTGCTCAGCTACGATGAGGTGTATTGGTGGGGTCAGACTACGGTTTCTTACCTAAGATCCTCATGGTGACACAAATATGCCCAGAAAGACATATGTGGCGTCTGAGTGTCTTAGGATAGTGCAAACTGGTAGGACGGGAGTGATGAATGTGTGTAGGAGCCGTCAAAATTGGTTCTCCTACCTCAGTGCGATGAATTTGCAATTGAATGACAACGTTGGTATGTCGGCAGCATGAATAGGACGGGGCTCTGGCTGCAACACCGTCTGCATCCGCCAAGAGTGGAGTCTATTTATGTGCTCAGGCATTTTCGCGTCGAAGGCAAAGGCCGGGAATGCATATTTCCCGAAGGTAACCTTTTGTGACCGTGAACTTAGCGCAGTCATATCTCGTAAGCAGGAAGCCAGAGCTGAATGACAGTGGTAAACAGTTATCATGTAGAACTCACTTAAAGTCTGCCGATGGTGCTGCCAAATTACCAAAAGACTAGAGTTCATTAGGTAAAAAGAGTGGTTGTTGATAGTTGTGCCTTCTTCTAGGACATAGGATCGAAATCTAAACACACCTCACGTATCATCATGTCCAAAAGGCCTCTGACGTTGGTCTCGAGATCTAATTCATCTCCAACAGCGTCAACTAACCACGGCAGGAAATTCACTTCGACATCTGCAAGAAAATGAAATGTCTAATTAAAGGAACTATAACTCAGAGAAATAAGCCAGCCTCATTGTTTAAATTTATCCTTTGTAGACACAATCAGCACTTTCTTAAAAATACTTAAAAAGCAGTCAGTCGTACGGCCTCGGGTATGTTTTTAGGTAACTTTTTAAATATTAAAAGTTTCAGTAACCGTACTCTAGGCTGCTCCTTCCACTTTATATGGGATGACAAATCTAACGGTTTTGCAAAACATTAAATGAAATAGGACCGAAATGCAAAAAACCAACCAGACACGTGAACGGAAGCGGTATAAAAGTTACTTTCATCTCCTAAGAAGGTATTTGTCCCACGGAACAAATTACCACTGTTTTTTCGTACGTGATCATTGCAGAATTTCCATTATTTTACCTAAATAAGGTTGTGTAAACTGAGCGACACACAAAAATTGAAAATGATATCTGGCTGATCTGACTGTCAAATGAACTGCAAGTATATACAAAGCAAAGGTCTATGAATGTTTGTATTTGCAATGGACGCCCCATTTAATACCCTACGTCAAAAGACAGTCTTATTATTCCAGTATTCCAATCTTTTGGCATTTATTACGGAAATGAGAGTGAAATAGAAAGACTATCTAAGAAATGGCGCAAACACTAAAGTAGGGAATTTTTTGAAGGACTTCTAATTCCAAATGCAGGCATGCACATCGTTATCGAACGGTGAGATACTGTTTCTTAAATATGCAGCAAGATCTACTACTGGTGGCAAGGCCAGCATCTGATTGCTGACCCACCACTCGGCGCACCCGCGTCGGTGGCTGAAAAATAAGTGGGCCCTCGGATAGCGCAAACGCCTGCGTCCATATATAGATGGCAAATCAGACAATTAGAAGATGACCACGTGATGGAGTTTCGACGCGGCAAATTACATTTGCCATCAGATAACTGTTTGTGTGTCGTCCAACGTAGTCCTTGGACCATAAGCATGTGTGTATTCTAGTGGCTCACGTTAACATCCACGATCACTACACCAAATTAGTCAGCCAACTAGTATTCAGTTAGTTAAGGGTTTACCGGATCTTTGGATGCTCATATTGCTTTGATTTACGTGCTCTTCCTGTTTAAAGGAGAAATACTGTCTCTAACAACAATAGATATCAAAATGTTTTGTAGCTCTAAGCAATAGGAGTTCTTAAACGGATGTTCTCAAATGCGCAAAAGCTCATGTACATAAAAAAACATGAAACGTACCCCTTTCGACCACATCATAGAAGTAGCCGTTCTCATAGAGATGATCGAAGACAGTTGGAACAAGTGGTTCCATGTACATCCTGCTAAAAGCCCGAGCTGCTAGTTTTTCCGCCAGCTCTTTTTGACGCTCACTGACCTCTAGGTGCTGCCGCTTCCTTCGTTCTTTTTCCTCTCTTCAAAAGTGCGGGCAATAGAAACGTATGGGCAATTTGAAGCATTCTGTCTACATGTGATAGCTTAAGCCTTATGAACAAGGTTATTTTCATCTACAATGATATGACAAGGCCTATATTGATGTGTCTAATCAGTTAAAAAACGTTGTGTTTTATGCAAACCTCATTCTCCTTTCACGTTCCTCAAGACGATGTTGTTCGGCTAGATCGGCCTGCCGAAGCTCTTCAAACTGTCTTTGTTGATCTCTGATTGCTGCTAACTCCTCCTCTTCGAGAACTTCTATAAGTGCCTGCTCGATTGTCTTTCCAACGAGAATTTCAAGAATTGGCCGGACTTCCACGTCAAAGAAGAATAGCTGTATTTTTGTGGAGTGTTAGTATTGTATTTTGACTCGGCGCGAAGATTTTTTAATAAAATGAGAAAAACTGCAAAATGTCCAACGAATAATAAAACATGAATTTAAAGTACAAAATTAATGGATAAGCATGAATCTCAAACGAGCATATGCATATAATATTCAACGTTAAATAAAAAGCAGACGTTTTGTATTTTGGCAAGGTTTTGGTGATGTATACTTAGCTTGATCTACGTGTTTGCTAATAAAAGCAACTTATGTCATACTCTTACAGTTTCTTGCAATATCATATTATAACTGCTAAAAAAGCATAAGCATACACGGTTATTATAATAAAAAGTGTTTTCCTAGCATCCCACAAAGTTTTTAGAAAAATATTTTCGTCACACAATCACTTTGCACTAGACCAACCAAAAAGAGTGTCTCTGCTAAAATATTTAAAACAATATCTACAGTTCAAAAACACACTTTAACAGAAATGTAATGGAAAATTTGTCGTAAAACCCAAACTTTTAGGATTATTCGCTGCATACAAACATAGTAACCTGATATAAACATTAGGGTTTGCGTACGTTTAGTCGGTCAAAAACAATAAGCGGAACAAAAGTGTTATTTAGACTTTTACCGAATAAAAAATAAACCTGGGTAATTTACGTCATCTGGCAGAATTTCCGTTGCCTTGTCAAGGCCTGACTTAGACGGAATAAATAGTGGAGAAGGTGGCCGGTCCAAAAACGGGTCTGTCTGACAGTCGGTTTCAGTTTCTTCTACCTTATCAGAAAGCTCCTCCAGGTACAATTCTGACTGAACTTCAGCATGTTGTCTGCCTTCGACAGGTAGCGGATCAAGCGGCTTTACCTGGGAAAAATATCATACAGATGCAGTATTCCACGAGTGTTTGTATATGCCCCGAATCGAGAATTAAAATGCGTTTTTTTCAATTAGCAGTCTGACGCATAATATGCTGGCTGTATAAAAAACACTTTTACTGGGGAGAATTGCTAAAACGTGTACGTTCGAAGGCGTAGCCTGCAGACAGCGAACGAAATTAGAGGTCGGTTGGTCTAATACTTAGTTCATTAATCAGCTTGTTCTCTAAGAACCTTATTTAAAATTGTACATATTGCCTATGGGTCAGCACATGCAAAAATCTACAGTATGTGCACGATCATAAAGGTTTTCAATAGGGCACAAACCTCAGTAGGTTTTCTTAAACGTCTTGAGTTTTTTTTATCTTTGGCGTGTGCAGATAAGTCATCTGACCCATCCTTAACGTTCGAAGGCCAGAAGTGTCGCGAGAATGTATTCCCTCTGATTACTCGTCTGTCGTACATCAAGTTCTGATAGCGCCGTTCATATTCGCTGAAGATGTCATTATAGTTAAAAGTGTACCTTGCATCCGTTGTTCTGTATTTGCTTTGGTGCAGCAGGGCCTTTGGTTGACTGGAAAATGTGTATGTCCCTTGTTCATTTTTCCAGTAGTTTGTCATTTTTAAAAGATTAACAATTTACTATCGACCTACATAGTTAAGACGCATTGTAAATTTGAACAGTTAAAAGAAACTCGAGACGTAAGGTTTTGTAGTTATAAACTGGATCTAACTCCCCATCATTCCATGTTATATCTCTGAAGTTGAGCTGCAAAAGCTTGAAAACGGCGTTCCTCGAGGCTCCATTATCCGTCAAGCACTGCTGATTGTATCCGTCAACGACTGCGGAAGTCAACTTAATTCACATGTCCCCATGTTTACTATTAAGGTCGGGCCTCGTAGCATCATCCGAACTGATTTTTACGAAAATAAATTGTTGGGGAACCTTTTTAGGTTTAAGAAACTGTCGCCCGACTGGCCTTTGTCGTTTACTATGACCCAGCACACTATCCTGCGAATTGGCCGAACTTTGTCTCCTAACCATCAAAAGGGCCAGCCATTACGGGAAGTAGACGTTTATAAGGACTCCAGTGTGTGGATGACAGCTTCATTTGAAGCTTTGCTGCCGTGATCAAAGGTACCGAATTCCGCGACGCCAGCTTCGTACTACGTCAACGGGCTTTGTCCACCTACACTGAAGACCGCTTCGTTTAAGTCTGAAGAACGTCTGTGTGGCCACAGTCTGAGTCTTCCATTCAGGCGCGGAAAACCCGAGCCGCCAAACACTAAGGCGTTGTTAAAAAAAAGTTCAATGGCGTGCAACCAAACTCGTTAGTGGACAGAGCTCTCTACCTTACGAAAAGCGTTACCAAATCTCGAACTCTTCCAAATGAGTTACAGCCAAGAGGTGAGATGATTCAGTAATTCCGCACCATGCATGGCAAGTATTGCTGTCTTGTATGATAGCACTCTTTTGATTTAAACCACAACGAACCTGCGAAATCGTCCACTCAAAATACGTGTGACCATGTCAGGCCGTATGTGTGTATGTATGCCGCCAAAACGGGGCCAACTGCAGATGCACTAGATGCTGGATTCTGTAATGTGCTGTCATAGTGCACAACATGACAAAGACCAACATCGAGGTTGTCACTCTAGGTCCAGTTGTCGGCTTGGGTCGAGTCAGTTTGGATTTCTGTCCTCCCCCACTGTTGTTGTTGTTGTTGTTGTTTTGGTTAAAATTTAGGCCATATGCTGTGTGGACCAAGGGGCGTGGGATTGTATACCTGGGTGCGGGTCTGACCGTTTTAGTCAAATGCGCCCTTTCTTTTCTCCGACTTTCTTGACCATGTCTTGACACTAGCCCCAGAGGGGAGAGAGTGCGGTCAATGTAGCGCAAGTCTACTCTCACCATAAATTGATACACACGCAAGTCATCGTGCCTGCTCTCACCTTTCTTTGGAATACACGGTGGACATTGTCCGTCGCGAAGGTCAAACTGTCAAGTATGTATGTCTGTTTGTTTTTTGTTTGTTTTATGTGGTCAACATTTGTGAAAGCGTGTGCTACACCAGTATCAACAAACCACGTCCCTCGCAGCCTGGTATGCGCTGGTAGTTTCCTGACACCTGGTTCCCTATAGGTAGATGCGCGTACGCTCCTGTTGGGTATACGTGTGGTGAGCATGGCTTCCTAGTCATCATCCTCGTCCTTCGTACCCATGTCGAGGTTTTGTTGTTGTTGTTGTTGTTGTTGTTGTTGCTGCTATTGTTTGTGGTCAAGAACCTGGTCAGTTGCTGCGAGGACCAGAGGATGGGGAGTGGAACACCATCCACCTGTGCCCTCCCCGCCTTCGGTCTTCTTGACTCTGTCCTGACACCGAGTTCAGGTGGGGGCGGGGGAAGGAGTAAGTAATATGTGCTGCAAGTCTGCTACCATTATAAATTAACTCACGCGCAAATCACCGTGCCTGCTGTACCTTGGTGTGTAGCACTCGGTGAAAATCGTCGGGATCGACGGTCAAACTGTCGTGTATGTATGTAAGTATGCATGTATGAGAAGATAAGGCGATCACAGGAACCATGGATTTATTTGCCTGACGTTTGGAAAGCAGACAAGCTTCCATCATCGGAGGTGGGTTGCGCACTGCACGTCACAGTATTTATGGGTTTTCCTTCGTGCTGGCGTGTCATTGACTTCCAGCGCGCTGCATCACAAGGTATGGCGATGGTTGTCATGGCGGCATCGGTTCTTCCTCATCCTTTGTCGGGTGTAGGGGGGCGGCGTCAGGGTGACCGCGGCCATTGCTCTTGTTTGCATTGTCCGTTGTACGCCCTCGACGCATCTCGCCTTCCTACCCCGTCTGCACCTGCCTGTAACCGCATGGACGGTGGTTGTCATGCCACTGTTGACGTCAGGCTGGGGATTCCTGTCACTGTAGTGGGGCCTCGTCTCGCTGTCCCATTCACACCTGTCCGTAAACGTGTTGACGGTGGTTGTCACGCCACTGTTGACGTCAGGCTGGGGGTTCCTGTAGCTGTCGTGGGATCTCATCTCGCTGTCCCGTCCACACCTGCCCGTAACCGTGTTGCCGATGGCTGTCATGTCAGTGTTGACGCCGGGGTGGGGGTCCTGTCGCTGTCGAGCGGTCTCATCGAGTGCTGGCGTCTATCTGCTTTCGGACCCGGAAGGCGGTCTCCCGGGTTTGCGTTCGCCGCCGATTGTCCCCTGGTTTCGTCCGTTCCCGATGCCTGTCTATGCTTGTCCATGTTCCCTCTTGGTCCGGGTTTGACTACTGCCGTCTCTGGCCTGACGACTCGTCGGTGGACCTGCCTACTGAACTTCACCCGTAGTTCTTGGTAGGCAGCCGGCAAAGTAACGCATCGGTTTAAGTCAGTTTATTAAGGGAATTAGGCTTTCGCCCTTGTGCTCCCTATTCATATCGATAAACAAAAATAAAGTCATCAATTATATCAGCAAATGCGGAAAGTTAAAAAAATTAGCGGTAAGTGTGAGCCAGGCGCAAACTGCCGCCGCTAAAACAATCGTTGTTGTATGTACAATAGTTTTTCTGCAAATGAGCATCTAGTCTACATTTGAAGGAATCGATAATTTCGGAAAGAACCACTACATCAGGGAGTCCGTTGCATGCCCCAATGACCCTGTGAGAGAAGGCGATCCGTCGGACGTCCGAATGGGCCAGCTTCCTCTGCAGCTTGAAGGGATGACCACGCAGGCGGTCAGTCCCGGCCAATTCGAAGAATTCATCAAAGTCTAGGGCACACTCACGACCTCTGACAATCCTGTAGGTTTGAATGAGATCGCCGCGCAGTTGCCTGTAATTTATAGGAAACAGATTTAGTTCGGTCAGCCTGGTTTCGTAAGGCAGATGGTGAAGATTCTTGACCATCTTCGTAGCCATCGCCTGTACCCTTTCCAGTCGTTGATAATCTTTCTTCAACCACGGTCGCCAGGCCTGGACTGCGTACTCTAAGTGAGACCGGACGAATGCTCCATAGGTTTTCCCGAATAGCTCTTAATCGATCTGCACAAATCCTCGCCTCAGCGCAAATAGCACCCTTATCGCACTTTTGGCTGCCCTTTGACACTGTGATGATGGTTTCAGCGAGGAGGTCATTATGACGCCGAGGTCTTTCTGTTCCACAACATTTGAAAGGGGCTGACCACCAAGGACGTATTGAAAGGAATCGTGCTCCTTACTGGTCTTTTTGGTGCGGAGTCTCAGGACCACACATTTGTCCACATTAAAATTAAGGAGCGAACGAGCTGACCAACTGTTCAGACGGTTGAGACTGTCTTGAAGCGCGTACCTGTCTGCGTCAGATCTTATGGGTCTCCACAGCTTAACATCGTCAGCAAACATGATGGCGCTGCATCCCAGGTCGTCGATGCAGTCGTTAACGTAAATCAGGAATAGCAGCGGCCCTAGGACGGAGCCCTGGGGTACACCACTTAGAACGGGGGTAGGGGTTGACCTTGAGGCCTCAATGCACACGCTTTGTGATCTCCCGCTAAGAAAATCCGTTATCCATTTCTGCAGCGTTCCTCTTATCCCAATTTCAGGAAGTTTGTAGATTAGGCGTTTGTGTGGGACGCTGTCGAACGCCTTCTTAAAGTCTGTGTAGATGACATCGACCCTCCCATCCTCATCCAGTGCGCGAGTCCATTGTTCCGTCGAGATTAATAAACTGGAAAGGCACGAGCGGTTCTGTCTGAAGCCGTGCTGAAGGTCTGAGAGTAAACGGCCCTGCTCCAGGAACTTCATTGTTGCTTTCTTAACTATGGCCTCCATTATTTTACAGCAGATACAGGTTAGACTAACAGGCCGGTAATTGTTGGCATTAGTGCGAGCCCCGCCCTTGTATATCGGAAAGATATTTGCTGTCTTCCATTCCGATGGCAGTCTCCCCAATTCGAATGACGAGCGGAAGATGTGTGCCAGTGGTTTGGAGAGTTCATTCGCCAATTCTTTCAAGAATTTGGCCGGTATATTGTCTGGACCCGAGGACTTTGCTTCCTTGAGATTTTTCAGCTCCCTTTCTACGGCAGCTGCCGGGAAGAGTATGGAGTCAAGCACGGGACCAACAGTCTCAAGAGCATTGTCGGCACTGTGACAGCGAAACTCTGTTTCTCTAGTAAAAACCGAGGCAAAATACTGTCCTAAGTGTTCGGCTTTCTCGCTGTTCTCAATGATGTCTACACCATTATTATCCTTCAGCACCGCGACCGGGTCCTTATTTTTCAGTCTACTGTTAAGATATTGAAACAAAATCTTAGGCTTCTGTTCAGCCTGTCGGATAATCTTGAATTCATACTCTTTGCGTGCCTGACGGATACATTTATTGACTGCATTTCGTTGACGACGAAATTCTTCGAAATGCGTTGGTGACGCAGTTTCCCTGAATATTTTCCATTTTTTGCTTTTTTTCCGTAGCTGTCTATTTAGGTCCCTAGTTAACCAAGGAGGTCGACAAGTTGTTTTTGTACTTTAGGTGGTCAACAGCGTTGAATCAGATCGAGTGAAATCGTCCTAAATGACATCCAGTCGTCCTTCGGATCTCCCCTGAGTAATTGGTCCCAATTCACGTACAGCAATTCGTTCTTCATCGTGTTAAAATCTGCCTTCCATATATTAGGTTGGCCCTCGGTTATCTTCTGGCGTTGAGAGAAGAGCGAGTAATCCCATAGTAGCGTAGTATGGTCACTTTTCCCGAGAGGTGCATTAGAATACACTTCGTCGATATTAGAGAAGTCTTTAGTGAGAACTAGGTCTAGACAATTCGCTCTCTGGTTCTCTCGAAATCTTGTTGGTACCTTCACATGTTGCGCCAGAGGGAGATCGAGTGTGAGGTCCAGTAGCTTATTGCTGAAAGAGGCTGGTCCACCGTTAACTGCCATAGTTTCCCACTCTATTGCAGGTGCGTTGAAATCCCCAGCAATAAGTTCATCTTGGTGTCTATCTACGTCTTTGACTAGACCAAGGAGCGACTCATCAGCTGCACTCAGAAGGTTTGGTGGTCTGTAAATCGTCAGGAATTCTAGATTTTGTGCGTTACTCTTCCTTATCTTTATCCAGACGGATGCATATTCAAGGGAGAGGGTGTGGGCTCTTTCGAGTGCCGAAATTC